TTATGCTCCTCCACTCGGTCGCCACTTGAGATCCAGACTCACCCTCGGTCGGATGCCTTTGATCTTTGTTTTCTTCGCTTCGATATTTCGTGCATGTGAATATCCCTGGAGTATTTACTTCTATAGATATATGTATATTCCAGTATTTGTGCGGGGCCTGCCAGCGTCTATCTGGGCAAATATCAAATAACAAATATTGATCGCGAGCGTGACAATGATTTATTTGCCTTACACCTTCCGCGCTCTCGAGATCTTATCAGGCAGATAACGATCTGGAAATTATAATATGGGACTTACGGCCTGAAAGTCAATAGAGACAGTGCGCTATGTGACTGAGGTTGTCGGGGGTCTAGATTAAATATTTAAGTTACCTACAGCGAATAGGAGAACACAATACGATCTTATATAACCAAGTTGAATTTGGTATTTAAAAATATTAGGAAAAGATAATATAGGATATATAATAATAACCTTATAAACGGTGAGGTTGAGAGCTCCCACCTGCTAGGACAGGTGAATATTGTTTATTTAAAACCCTTTAAACTTTCTTTTAGTAATCCTTCAACCTCCAAGATAGATTTCTATTCGTTTGCAATTTCCTAGTTTACCTTTTCCATTAAGATACACCCGCTTAATGCTGATTTCAAAGATAGTGCTACTGTTTTTCCTACGTTTTTCTGACTATTTGGGAAATGCTGCCCCGTGTGGATGCCGCAAATATTTATATGTTTGTGTTTGTTTTTCGAGGGCAGTTGTGAAAAAAGCGGCTACACGGACATCGGACATCGGATGGCCAGACACATCTCTCCCAGCATGACTAAACAAATTTATTGCCCACTGGCAGCAGCGGCAGCAACTTCTTCAAAATGCCGCCAATGTTGCTCAACTTCCTGTGCAAAGTATCTGTGTGTTTGCCTTACAATTGGCACAGCCAGCGAAATAGAAGAGAAGGGGTTAAGGTGGCGGGGAAGAGCCAACGACAAGCGATTTCATTCATGAATTCATATGTACGCATATCTTAAAGATACAACGGGCGTCGCTGCGAGTACATGGCCTGCATCGATAGTGCGGCATTGCCATAAATGAGTCGGGGCAAATAATAAATAAATAAATAAATAAATATCGATGGGGCGATAGAGTGTGTATGAAGGGATATACAAATGAAAACCGATATCAGCGATACTCTATTCTAGGCTTCAAAAACTCACAACGAATGATTAGTGGCTGGCACATGCAAACACACGTCGAAGTAAAAATAGAAGAAAGTGTTTTCTTTGTAAATTCATTTGATTTATCGATGCGTTCCGTAAACAAAAAGCCATAAATACTCGGTGGGGCAGTGTATCTAAAGGGTATTGCCTTGCTACATTTTACAAAGAAAGGTTTTAGAAGGAATTAAGATTGAGTAAAAGAGTGTAATAACATATTTTATAAAAAAAATAAGTTAAAAGTCTTTTTTTAAGAGTCAAAGTAAATTAAAATGCTTATAATTTCTAATAATTCTTTAGAAACTGATTTAAAAGGTAATGAATAATTACCTCTTAAAATAAGCAAAAAACGCTCACATTATATTATTACAAATATTCATAACTCAACCCAAAGACTTATTCGTTGAACCCCCAAGAAAAAGATCATATCGGTTGAGTTAGTAATACTCAACCTTATTTCGCATTCAGATCATGAATGAAAGCGTCATCCCCTTGAAGACAACGGAGACCTCCCAGAAGCCAAAAATAAAGAAAAAAAGAAACGAAATTTTCCAAAGAAAGAAATAAACAGAAATAATAACAATAATCGCGTTGGCTAATTTGCATAGTGACCAAAAAAAAGCAAAAGCAGACCCAACGCACAGCTTCGTTAGACGATTTTAATGTCTTAATATATTTCTTTAAATTGAGTCATTAAAATAAATCGCCATCGACGACGAGTATGAGGATGGGGATCGGAATCGGAATCGGGATGGAATGAAGTGGGATAGGATGACGACGACCACAAAAGACGCTGACGATGTCGGCGCCATCACGATCGATCGTTTGCCACAACTTTCCAGCGGAGTTCAGGATGGTTCAGACTCCGAAGTCGAAAGCACGTTACAGCCGAGAGCCCCAGAGACTTTACGAGAAATAATTGAGATGCACACACATACACGAGGCGAGGGCAAAAACATGGCAAGAGGAAAACAAACCATTTAGAGGGGACTTTTGGGGAGGGGACGGGTACTGGGGGGCACACACAACATCGAAGCAAGACACGCCACGCGGTCGGTCGGTTGCCGAGAAACTGCATCTGCAACTGCAACAATGATGAAGACATCAAGCTGTAAAAAGCACCAGCGAGAACCAGCGAGAAAACTTGAGAAGAGTCCAAGCACTCAGAGAAACAACGTATGGGAACAGGTAGAAGGGTTAATGCTAAGTTGTCTCATATAATATTTCAATGCAAGATTTTGGTAAACGGAAAATTCTTCTTCACTTTATATAGCCGCTATCCACTTTCAACCAAGAAAACTTAATATTTTAACTAAGAAACTATAAGATGTATAATTTTCAAATTAAATATGACTTTAAATCCTAATTATATCATGTATGCCACAGCAACAAGAAAATAATTCTAAAAAAAATATTTTTTGTAATTTCCCTGAATTGATCTAAATTTTGGTGTACATTTGATGGACAGTATTTTAACAGCAAATACAAAAAGCGTGCGTCAGTGAAATTTTTTCCTTTTGCCTCTGTTTTTTTCTTCTGGTTTTTCTTTTTTGGGCCACCCGCATTCGATGGCCCGAACCAAACCCGAAAACCGATCTCTGGCCCGCTTCATTTGCATCGTCGGCCATAACAACAACAATCAGGAGAAACGCTTTGGCAACGACAATGGAAATAATGATTGTTTACTGTTCTTTTCGAGTTAGAAAACTAATTTTAAAGACGACAGAGGGATACGCTGTCACAAAGTAGAAATGTAATAGAAAATATCTATATAATCTTCCTGGAATATACCAGCTTTTAAGTGCAAGAATCCATAAATAAACATTGAATAAACTATTTTGTATTAGAAACTTATATAGTTTGACCATATTTTCAAGCTATAAAATATATCTTGATATTTTTAAACCTCACTTTGCTCAATTACTTGCCAATATAACCGACTTTAGCTGACTAACTTTACTTTGCGTAAGTATTTCAGAAATTATTTAGATTGTGCATTACGTCACGCATTAGTTTCTAAACAATCTGTGAAAAATGCTCGGCTGATATCAAAGAGCATCTGAAAAATGTAAGGGGGTTTTTCGAGGAGGGCTCTGACGATAGTGGGGTTTTCGAGGAGGACGGAACGAGGACTGGGGCAACAGCACGTACGAAATGACTCTCAACTGCGGCCCACCCATGTTGGATTGTACAGACGCACAGATACACAGATACACCGAGTACAGATACACTGACACACAACAGTCCGCGGCTGGTTGTTGTTTATTATTTCTTGAAGCTTTTTGCCTTTTGCCTTTTTGGCTGCCTTCTCACTGGATCTCCTGCTGCTGCTGCCGCTTTTTATTTAATTTTTTTTATTCGCCTTTTTGCCAAGTCTCAGGCTGGGCTGCATTGCTGTTTTTGGCGCAGTTGCAGTTGTTATTGTTTCGCTTTTGCGGTCGGGCCAACTCTGCACAGTAGCGCCAAAGTAATGAAGTTGTCTGTGGATATGTCCGTCTTCGTCTCCGTCTCCGTCTGCGCTCCGTTCGCGGTGCATTGGGGAACGTAAAGTCCTGCTGTGTGGCTGCTCACAGCGCAAATAGTCGTAGATTGATGGCAATGCACACAGAGAAATTGACCACAAAATTGGTGATAAATTATGAAGAATTCTTTGGATCAATAAATGCGTCTCTTTTTAGACTTTAATCTTTGAAAATTGATATAACTATTATCTAGTTTTTGTTTAAAAATGTAAACAAATGTGAAGAGTGTGTGCTAAGCTCAGATTATTTTCAAAATATATTTAAAATATTTTCTGCTGAGCCAATTTATCAATTTTCTACAAAACCAGGATTAACATAAAAAAAACCGACTTAAAATAAGTAAAACTCATGCCATGTTAAGCTGTTCACGATTTTTATGACTGGTCTTGTCGTAAACAAATGCCTATATATAGATATAAATCCTCCACGCTCTTGAGATCTAAACAGTAAAATAACCAAAATTTGCATATAAGCCGATTGGCTACATAATGTCAGGTGATTTTGGCTAATCACTGTAATTAATAGACGACTGGCAGGGAGACCAAGATTCCGACAACTCTATTAACCAGAGAACACACTAAGCGGCAAAAAGAAAACGAAACGAAATGAAATGAAATCGAAAAGACTGGAGAAGCAAAAGACATGGCGACGACAAAAACGCGAAAAAATATTGCGAGAGATATTGGCAATAAAATTTATTGAAATCTGTCCAGCCGGCTTAATGGGCGCATTAAACAAAGGCCGCTGCGCTTGGGCTTTACAGTCCAACTTCTGTTATGTTCGCCTCTTACTAAAGGGTTTTTTTTTACCGAATTTGCAATAAAATAAGGCAATCAAAGTTTGGGTAATTTAGCCTAATTAGTTGTAAAAGGTTTCTTGTAACTTCTGAAGAAGTGTTTTTTAGGGGGTTTTTTTAAGGAAAGTTCACCTAGCTAGAATATTGAAAGATAGTTTTTTAAAGATTTATTTTTTAAGTCTTTAGTTTGAGAAAAGTATAAGTGAAATATGTTCATAAGGATTTTGATTGCTAAGATAGATAGGGTAGATATTAGATGAGTTAGAAAATGTTTTATATATTAAAAACTGACTGCTGTCTAATGATAGTAAATAGTTAAACCTTTTCTGGACTTATGGAACTTGAAAAGATTGTGCAATTTCCCTAAAATAGATAGATGAATGTCTTTGTACAGCAGTTAAAGACTTCATAAATTTAAAAGTTGAATCAAAGGAGGCTCTACTGTCTGCAGAGTACTACGTGCGCTGAACTCACCTTATCGATCTGGTCGAGCGCCACTTGGGCGTCCACCCAGCTGGTGCGTATATAGAGATCCGAGAATAGTTTCTCATCGACCACATCGCCGTGTGTGTCCGGAACGCGTGGGAGGCTGTCGCGGTCCATTATTTAGCGTTATCTTTGCTGGCTTGGGATGCGGATGCACGGATATGGATGCGGATTCCGGATGGAATCTGAGCAGATACGTTTGAGAGAGTGCTTGCCTCGGGGAGGCAGTTTGGGCTTATAGTTCGAACGCGATGCAATGAGTATTAATTACTGCCTTGAATTTGTGTTTTGTTTAAATGCATTTTGTGCACTGCACTCTGCATTTTCTCGCTCTCTTCTGCCTGCTGCTGCTTCTTCTCGCTCGTTCGTTCGCTCTCGCACGCTGTGTATCTTCTGAGCGCTCTTTGCTGTTGTTGTTGTTTGGGTTTTTGTTGTGATTGCAGGCTTCGCTTTTTTGATTCGAAAGATTTATTTCGTTGATTTGTACGCGCTTTTCTTCGGGTTTTTTTCGGGGTTTACCTCGGCGGCTGTGGGCACAATTTTTTGGGGAATTGGACAGAATTTTCACACATCATTCACACACATGGAAAAGCGACGGACGACGGACGCTCACGTTTTCTTTTCGTTGTCGTTTTGCTTTCGCTCTTTCTCTCTTGCTTTTCGCGCTCTCTGCGACTGCTTCTTCTTGACACTTCGCGCACGCACACACACTAATAGAACTCACGGTGGCCGGATTTTTCGGCTTTAATCCACAAAAACTTCGGCTGAGTTACAATATCTTCTTCTTGGCTCCAGCACGAGTTCTGCGCTATTTATCTTTGTTGTTGTACCACACACAGTGGTGCACTGACAGATACAGTGTAGACGTTATGGCCGCGCTCGCTCCGCACTTACAACCGTTTCGTTCGAGGATCGCACGCAGTCTGAGAGATGTATCTGTATCTCGCGGATGCGGCACGCCAGGCCAACAACTTCATTAGGCGAGCGCGACTTGCCTCTCTCGCTCTCGGCTGCACTGCGTATGTATGCGTGGGCGACTCATTCACTGGCAGCTAAAGTACGCTCCCGGCTCTCTCACTCTCGCAGCTCTCGCGCTCTTGAGTCTGCGGCCATTTTGGTTTGAGAACGCTCTCTCCGAGGGCCGGTCGAACGGTTTTCAAGAGCAATGGAATAGGGAAAATACCGAGGGGTGTTTTAAAAGTTTCGTAAAATCAAGGTGGTTTGTATTTTTTAATATAAAAAAAGAAAACACTTAACGGTAAATAAAAATGTTATTAAATAGATATTTTACAATATATGTTAACAAAAACAACATATTTTTTATTATAATTTGTACCATTGAATTTATAAGTATACATACATATAACCGTTTAGGGTCTTAGCTAAAGTTTTAATTTATTATAAGAGTATTAGAAAATAATGCTCGAGAAAATAATTCTTCAAAATATTTACCAAGAAAGTTAAAGATAAACACATACAAAAATAGCTTAAGACATTATCTTTTTGCATCTGTAGTATCTGAGTACTGTGGATTAATCTTTTTTTAAATTCATAGATAAACGATTTTCTGAGATATCATTTTAAAATGGTACAGTTTATCTAGCCCAGTTTTGACATTCACTGTCACTGATAACTGAGAAGGACAAAAAGGCCAGAGCCCGCTAATTTTTATTGTTGTTATTCGCGTGTTTTTATTGTATTTGATTTTGGTTTTTGGCGAAGTATTTTGCTGCCGCTTTTGCTATTGTTGTTGCTGCGGTGCTTTATTTTTTCACTGCAGTGTGGACCACCCAAAAATAAATTTGTTGCTGCTGCTTCCATTAAACTGAAACCGCCAAGCGTTGTGGGTGGTCCACTACCCCCCTCCCGAGACCACCACCCTTCTTGTGGCGTCGGCCTTCAGCGTCGGCAGCGCTGCTCACTGAAGCTTTTATCTCGGTGTGTGTGTCGGTTTGTTTGTTTGCTTGTGGGAGCGCGTGCGTGGCAGGCTTTTCTCTCTCTGTATGTGTGTTGTTGGGGTTGAATTTGCTTGTGTTCGTGCCGCGAACTGTTGGTAAATTTGTTAGCTTTACATTGCTTTTGTTGTTGCTGTTTTTGCTGCCTTTGATGTCTGTTTTTGCATGTTCTCGATGCTAAATTATGAGCATCAGCAGCAGGATGTTTTTGTTTTCTACCTCTCTTATTTTTGCAGCATTATTTCTTATATGAGAGAGTGTGTGTGGACCACACAAGTTGTCATGTTTTTGTGTTTTTGTCGGAAAAAAAATTATAATTAATTATGGTTTTCAATGCTGCTGAAAGGAAAAGAAAAGTTCTTGCTTCATCTATACTTTTTTAATTTACATTAATCATGTTATTTTATTATTAGATTTTTTTTTTTTTTTTAAAACAACACATTATTTGTAGGACAATTAAATTAAAAAATTGTTTATTAAAGTAAGTCTAAAACTTCAAGAAAATAAATATTAACCATCTCGGCCCCAAAAGTAACTTGAGGCCTTTTTAACTTTATTCACAATTACACAAATAATAATTTTTTCTTATTTTGTATTAGCAATTAGTTGAGTTTAGAAGGCACGAATCGCTCTAGAAAAAAATATTTCATTTAATTTCTTTTATTCTTGAGGAAAGTGGCACTAGAGGGTTAAGGACATATTTTTAGAGTAAGCTCTCTCTTATATAATATAAAAATCTTAAATTCCAAAAATATCAATTAATTTTCATGTATGTGTATATGTATGTATGTATATAAAAATACTCCAACATCGCCCTTTAAAATTTATGAATGAAAATGCATTTGAGACATATTTCCCCCATTCCGCCTTCCTCGATTTTCCCTTTTCCAAGATACGACCACAAAACAAACAAATAAAAACTTTTCAGAACGACCGCAAAAATTGGCGCTCGAATCTCCAACAAATTCCAATTCGAATGCAACTACGGCGTCATGGTGCCCCCTCTCTTTCTATCTCTCTCTCTCTCTCGCTTAATGCCTGGGCGAGGCAGGCGCAGGCAGAGAAAGAGACGGAGATGGAGATGGAGAGGATGGAGCTGTAAATGTGAATGTGAATGTGGACCCACCACCGAGCGGGCTATTATAATCAAAAAACAACAACAGCCTTCCCGCAGCTCCCCCCCATCTGTTGGATCTCTCTTTCTCTCTAACTTGCTCACCTGAACTAATGTTGCATCAATGGCTCTCTGCGACTCGCTCTCTCTCACTCTGTGTGTGGCGCTTTTTGGCGACATGGGCGGCATTTTTTCTCCAACTTGCATATTTTAGCTTTATCCATCTCTTCCGCTCTCCGATGATTGCGCCATCTTTGGCCTGGCTCTCGTGTTTTTGCTCTCAATGACTTGCATTTTGTTTTGCTTTCGCTCAATTCGCCTGCAGCTCCAATCCAGCAGAGCTGCTCCCCCATAAGACAGAGATACTCATTCACTCACACACACAGATACAAGTGCGCCTGTGTGGCGGGCAGCTGCCACTGGACCACCAACGAAGCGGAGTTTGCTTTGAGAGCTTCATTTGCCGTTTCGTTTGGAGTTGTTGTAGCTTGGAGCAGGAATACGGGGTAGAATAGGAGGAGAGAGAGAGAGATAGAGAGGAAGAAAGATACGGGGACAGAGAGACTGCGACTGCTGCTTGCTGTTGTTTTTATGGCCGGAGTTGAAGTTTTGATCTCTTCTTCTTTTCCGAGACTTGATACGCCTTTGGTTGTCATTCACAATATAATTAAATTTCATGGTTGACCATGTTCAATTAAAACACCATAAACTATTATAGAAAATAATAAAGTTACAAAATAAGTTTAATATTTATATTAGCGCAATATTAAAATCTAATGAAAGTCAAGATTGTTCAAAACTCAAGGATTTACCATTAATCCTGACAACTAAATATAGAACTAAATTGCTAAATTACTTTACAACACTTTGAATGGAATTTTTCTATTATCCAAAAATTAAAACTTTTTAGTATTGCAAGATTAAATATCATTTTTTTTTTTTAACACTAGAATATTAAAAATATTAAAATGACTATTATGTACATATTTAGTGAAATTATCCTGTTGTTTAATTTTAAAATTCTTATAACGTGAAACCACCTTTCGTTATCTCTCCACAATAATAATAGGTGTAAATGATTATTTTAGAATATCTTGCTCATTCACCAGTTTCCTGAGCTTGGATCTAACCCTGATCTCCTCGCTGTCCGTCTCTGTCGCTCCTTCGGTAACTTTAACGACAGGCTGTTTGTTTTTAATCGTATAATGTCTTAATTTATAGTGCAGCGTTGCCTAGACCTCAACTTGATACACGATCCTCACCGCGCACGCCCCTCGCCAGAGCACCGAGAGCTCCATGGCAATGCAATTGCATTTGTCATTGGCCTATAGCGCCTTTAACATTACTCCGCTTGCTGTATTCCCGGGGTTCCCCTTCCAAATCTCCTCCTTTTCTTTTTTTCCAACGTCCATTCACAACGGCTACTCGGGGAAAAATTTGTGGTCGCCGTGGGATCTCTTCTATTATATGAATTCTGAAAAAGAATATTATGAATTATTTTAAAATAATGTATTACAAAAATTTATAACATTATAATAAAACATTTAAAACTAAAATTTATTTAATTTAGATAGTAATTAAGTAGTCTAACTTCAATTCAAAACACTTTGTACCATTTTTAGTAAAGAAGAGAATTAGGATATAAATATATAAACATCTAAATTATGTGTTTACCATAAGTGTATTTCTAAACTATTGGTATCAAGAAGATTTCAAAATATTACGATTTATAATAACTTTCCCATTATTACTAATTGAATACATTTCGAAACAAAGTCAACTATTTTAAAAACCCTCATACCAAATCAAGTATATATCATACCATATCAGCATGAATAGCCGAGTCGATCTAGCCATGTCAGTATGTTCGCTCTTAGGCAAACTAGTCCCTCAGTTTTGAAGCTGAATGAAACTGTGCAGGTAGTCTTCTGACTAGTCTCACTACCATACATGCCGGATCGGCCGACTATATCATATCATATATATCAGCTGCCATAGAAACAATCGGCAAATATGTAGAACAAAAATATAGCTTAGATCTTAGACCTCTTTACTCACACTAGCTTTTCAGTCATTCAGTCAAAATTTTTAGTAAGTAAACCCTGAGACATATATATTTTATACGATTTTAAAATAATGTTGTTAAAACTTGATCTAGGCCCAATTATTGTATTTATATATTTCATTTGACCAAAATGGATTTATTTATAGGCCCTATTAGCATATATGTATATATTTGTGAATTGAAGATTGACTTCCTTGTGATATGTAAAGTAAAGTTTTAGAAAAACCCTACGCACTAAGTACGTATTTAATACTTCGACTTATTACACAAATTCTTCTTTAATTAAGTAATAAAAATGGTAATAACTTGTTGAATCCAATTCTTGCAGTGCAGTACCGCGACTTACTCTGCCACTTAAAGTTTAACTGCATTCGCAGTCGCGGAGTGCAAGCAATTTTTATGGCTAAATGTTGACGTCCCTGCTGCATTATTGCGGTGCATTTAATGTAATAATTACTATTTGCCACCGGTAATACGTAGGCCCGCGATTCCGATTCCCCAGCGACATGGCGTGTGTGGTTTGGCTCAAGCTCCAGCCCCGGCAGTAGATCCCTTCCTCCTCCTCCTCTGGCTTCCCCGATTCCTTGCTCGCCTGCCCGGCTGCCTGCCTGCCCCGCCTGCGGTTTCGCTTGGGGTTTGGGCAGCTAACTCGTTATCTTGGCGTCGGCTTTTGCGGTTGCGTCTGCGATCTGGGGGTACCGCAGCTGAACCGGGGTCTGAAGAGGAGCACCTCTACCCTGCGCCGCGCCGCGACTCGGCTGGGTTTCGGATCGGATCGGTTCGTTTGTTCATGTAATCAACCG